AATGTTGATAAAAAAGTGATGAATCATGAATATATGAAGTTTCGGTCATAAAGTAAGTACCAACAATATCTTTTCTATCTGTATTTACTTTATAATTTTTAAATACACTTGTTACAACTTCTAAGATACTAAAACTTAACGTCAGAATATATTTTACAATTTACATGCTTCTGGAACTGTTGATAAATACATATTTCTACAGAATTAGCGATTCAAAGACATTTACATTGTCGAGATACCTAATCGCAGCAGCTATAGGTACGATTGAGCGTTTAAAACGGACGAGATGTCGTTTAGTTCAGAGAAAACTATTATGTTGTTGTCCGTAGACCATCACGATGGGTTAGTGGCGAATCGCGCAGTGAATAATATAATGTGCCCGTGTTTGTAACATAATAAAATGCCTCAATATCGTCGCTGTATTGTATGTTGGACATATTTTTTAACACCAAGGTTATAAAAATAAATTTGTAAACGGTAAACATCCGTTGTCTGTTGGCGACTTGACGGTTAATATGTTGTCATTGTGATATGGTTTAGTAAAAAGCAAAATTCACGCTAGCAACTTTTGAATAAGTTTCTTTTTAGCATCGATGCGAAGCTGAGAAGGTATTGTTTTTACAATGATGTGTTTTAATTTCTGTGTCTGGGCCCATGATATCGTTTAAACCGCTGAAACGAGTTCTTCGTGAAACAACTGCATATGTCAGAAATCGTATTTTGATTGGGTCAAAATTCACCCTTTCCCCTTTAAAATCGTAAAAAACACCCAAAAAATTCATATTTTTTAAGATGGCCTGCTTTAAATTCTGAAAAGATGTACAAGTTCTTTGGCTACATTATTAGGTTATGTAGAAAACGGATTTTTACTCTTTTTATGTATAAAAACTGTTTTTTAGTATTGACAAATATTTAAATTGAATTTATATAATAACAATAAACTGATTTTTTTTTTATTGAAAAATAGTTTACTCGTTAAAAAAATTGTATAAGTTATAAATACTACCATGAAGCTTATATAAATTAATCTGTAAATAAATTGTCATGGTCGAAATTTATTAAAACCGCTTGTTCTTAAATATTGAATCCCCTTAGTTTTTTTTTGAGTAACCGATCTATTAGTGCTATTAAATAAATAATAGGTAACTGACATCAAACAAAACCATTATTATTGAATAACAATGAAATAAATGATAAATCAACCATGAAATAGTAGCAGAAAATATAAAAACTTTAATATTTTCTAGTACTAGATTAAGATTATTTACCTATTAGAAAATTGTCTTGAAAATCACACTGATTGTTAAAATAACTGTTATTTTAACAATCAGTGTGATTTAATAGGGAATTACGCGATTCGATCAACAAACTATATCACGAAATTGCTTATGCCACAAAAATACCTTCCTTCACCCTATACAAAATGTCTTGATTTTAATAATATTATTTTGAGGAATAAAATTTTAATTTCTTAAATTTCAGTCGATCGTCATATAGGACATACATTATACATACCTACGCAACAAAATATACATGATCAATGAATATGCAAACGAAACTGATTTTACACGTCTACTTCGCCTAAAAAGTAAAAACGGTATCGTGTCTTGATCGCGTTACGCTCAATTGACAATTAGTTACCGTATAAACCCTTCCCTGTCCACGCTAAATAATCATAGTTACTATTTGAAAAAAAAAACATAAATAACAGTCGGAACCAACTCGATTACATAAACTGTCATCCGCCGCCGCCACCACCATGTATAAATGATTCGCGCCAAATTATCCAGAGTTATCTAACCCAGAATGCAACCTGATAAACGTAACAGTTTCAAAAACATTTACTTGGTCTGATGGTCATGAGCTAGTGTACTTATAGGTAGAAGGTGTAAATAAAAAAAAAACAACTTACACTTTCGATGTGTAGTTTTTTAGTATCGTTGAAATATATGAGCAACCTTCTTCTTGGCAAACAAGCGGCACGTGCCAGTGTTATGTTAACACTTTTCACTAAAACATAATATTTGCTTCACCACTATCGCGGTAGATCACTGGTCTTGTTTTGGTACCTACTTGTAAATCGGCAATACCGAGTTCAGTGAGAGTAATATTGAAAGAGAAAAATAAACATTACTGAAAATAAAATCACAGGAAGAAAATGCGTGCAAATGTAGACTATATGAGAGCAGATTATTTTGACAACTGATTTGATTGAAGAATAAGAACTTGGGTGGTCAATCACAATTAGTTGAGGAATAAGACGAAGAAGAATTTAAATCGACATTACCATATAACACTGTAAAAAACAGGTATTAGGTTTTTACTTCTAGCTATACATTTACAACATAGATGCCATTTCTTTCATATCACCTGTTCATTGAAACTATAACTAAATATTTAACAATATAGTACAGACAACAACATTATGACGTTAAAAGTCGTTTAATATCGTTTCATTCAGCGTTCTATACTATAACGTTTTAATATTTAAATAATAATATAAACTGCTGCTTGTAGGACACGTCATCATTATACAGATAAGTTTCAATTTCAAAAACAAAAACATAAAATAAAATATGAATACTAATAAGAAATTTCGCTTCCATGTGGTCTATTAAAATTTAAGCGAGAATTGCTTGTTGATTAAAAAATATTCTTTCAATAAAAGGAATGCCTTTAATTAGTATACATTTTATTATGTTAAAATTATTTTCAAACACAAACTTGCACTCTTATTTTTTACACTTTTTACATTTATCAAGTATTTGAAACTTGAGTTAAAATAGGTAATAATATGTGTAGTAAAAAACATTTAGTTGTATCGCATGTAATACAATCATATTAATAATTAATAAATATTGTGCCATCCAAGGGCAGTAGCTTGACTTGGCGACAATAGGATAATAAAATAATATCATATACGACACGATTAAGCCAACTAACGTGCTATTTGTCAGGTTCGCAATATTATCCATTACAATAATAATTTGTTGCCCCTACACCAGTTGCCTACAACGCACATGTACCAGGTACTTCATTCAATTAAGTTGTTAAGTCCATTTTCCGGTTGCCTTTATATGCAATATTAATAATTAAGTTAAATGGATGTATAATTTTGCACAGTCGTCGCCGTCTTTAAAGGGATCTTCCGGACAACAGTACCGGTACTTTCGGGAAGAATACATCAATATTTGTAAGAAGCGAGCGAAAGTATTGAGAATACTATGTATAAAGCCTATAGACATGTGTGTGTATAATGTACAGCTATTACACTAACGGCTAACTAGAAAATAGCGTGTCCGGCACTTGGGATGGACGTTACCTTGGAGTTTAATTACTACCGAGTCTTGCATATAAATTTGAACAGTTTAAGTACAGCCTCTCGCCCATTTAAGGTGACAACTGACTGTTATTATAGCTTTTAAACGGATTAGGCTCCGTCTACATTAACATTAATATTGTCAATCGTCATAAGAAAATGCTAACGGTGAATCATTAGCCACTGAAATACACGCCATACTATTTGCGCCAAATTATTTAATTTATATTATTATGTCCAACACTATGTACTTATAGAGTATAGACTAAATGTATTAAGGTTTAGGATGTACCGGAAAGAAACAAAACGGTTGTATTGCATTACGGTTTTATTTATAAAAATATCATACTCGGACCTTGAATAAAAAAACATATAAATCACTAAGAAATCGATTTAGTAGACTTTCCTTTCGGAGTGTCGAAAACTTTAAACTCTCTATGGAATATGGATTTTACACGAAAATAAAGTTTATCTATATATTATAAGGAAAATTCATCACGTGTCTTGAGTAACTTATGTAGTATACTAAGTTGAACAAGTGACGGGTCATCAATCCAAAAGAATGTTCAAAAATCTGTAGGTATAGTATATGCCTAGTATATACATACTAATATCTATGTATAATATACATATTTTTTTTTTTGCGATGAGAATGGAAGGTATCCGGGGAAGAGTGAATTTGTTAGGAGCCCGCACGTGGTGCACAAAACTAGAAAGTTTTTTATTATTATTATGTTATTTGCCTTTTTTGTTCTTTGTTACGCGCGACGGTACCCACCGGAACGCGTGTGTGTGACCCGCAACACAGACGTGGCAGACCGGAACCAAACCGTACCTCTATATGATAATATATATAGTATACATTAATTTAATAACGCATATTATATTAATTATGTTTTGATTTAAAGGTTGACGCAGTAAATAATATATACAAGCTTGTTTTCGCGATCAGATTTTATAGCCAGCCCTTCGACACGTGGGTGGGATGACACGCGAGTACACCTGAACTGTCTACAACTATTAGAAATATTGTGAATCCTTAAGCCTATTGGATTAAGGTCTACGTACAGTGTAATTGTGATGACACGACTTCCCTAGAGAGTCGAAGACGCTTTCGCCGTCTTTTAATAAAAGCTTCGTACCAAACGGGCATACTAATGTATTGTGTATGCGTTTTTCTCTAATCGGATTTTGAATATGGCCCATAGTTCTAAGAAATTATCAAGTCCTAAGGTGGTTTCGAAAATTCGACCGATATAGTACTACTATGAAAAGGTCTAGTAAAGTTTATGGCCATATCCGAAAATATTAACAAACAACAACCAGAGGTTTGTCAAAGAGGTACACGACCTGTGCGTTATGGGTCTAGTGACCAGTGATTAGTCCTTCGGGTTTTAATCGAATGAGTAATAAAAAAAAAAACGATAAGACCGTGTGGGGCGGCGGGGACCCAGCTGATCGCTGTGTCTCACTAGCCGGAATTTCTCGCAATCGTCTAGTGGGATGAGAGCGTAAAAAACAAGGAAAAGGGTTGTGGGTGGATTGCGCGCCACCCATGGAAGGGTGGCGGATATCTTGACTTTTACTCGACAATGTTTCGGATGCAGGGTGGCTATTGTGTGTATTCTTTTAACGACCCACCGCGAGGGAAAGAAAGACAATAATAGCTGTACGCGCTTACCGGTTACTGCCGAGCGCGGATGTCCGTCTTCGGCTGATGCGCGATAATGTTTCGGAAGATCACTTATGATAATAACTCAGATGCCGCGAACAATAAAATTAATTTTTTTTTCAAAGTATTATATTGTCAATAGAAAAAAAAACGATAACCCAGTAAAGTCCGTTCGGCAATCGCACGCAATCATCGACACAACCACGGCCGCCGTTCGTTATAAACCTCGGTGGCACACTGTTGCGGTGCTGTGGTCGTTTTAGTGTAGTAGGCCAGCAAGCTCCCTCCTCCCCCTTCTCAAACTCACTCACTCGCCGTCTCTTCTATAACGGCGGCGGCGGAGGCGGCGGTGGAAAATATCGTGTTATGTGCGTACACGTAGGTTATACCTGTACATACAATAATACTGTACACGTATAATGTATAGTGTATGCACGCCGCCGTACGCAACGATACAACATAACAACAGAAAGCGAGAGAGAGAGAGAGAGAAAAAAACAAAACCTGTCGTCGTTCCGGCGGTGGGGACGGTGGACACGTAACCAACAACACAACTCTGGCTCGGCTCACTCACTCTTACACACACACATACACACACACTGACGCACTCTACGGCCGCGGGGCATTGAAGACACCATGGCCGACGTTATCCGTTGGATATAAAAAATAGAATATATAATACTATAATAATATGGTATATTTATATAAGCGAGGACCGCGGTTAACAAATTATTCAACGAGTTACCAGAGACCAGACGGGTCGAGAACAGACGTAGGTTGGGGTGCAAGTACCTGCGTCGCGCAAAAGGGTAAGACCGAGGGCGTCGAAAGGGCTGCGGAGATGAACGGGCGCCCACATCCGGACAATGACCTTACATAATAATATTATTGTTATTAAGATAAAAACGTCGGGGTTGAAGAAAAGGACAATAGCGACGAATGCCGTCAACGGCACAACGTTATTGTGACCGACGACCGTACGAGATGAGTTAATCATAATTATCCCTTGGGGTGTTTAATGTGTGCTTTTTATTTCAAAAGATGCTAAATATTTGGGCCACGCGCAAAAAAAAAAAAATTAACCGAAATTCCTTCTAGCGGTTATAGCCGAGAAAAATAATTATCTTTAAGCTAATAACGTTTGGTTTTCTTATGACCGCTACTGTGTTATTACTTATTATTATATTATTATTGTAGTAGTATATCGACCAGAGTTGGTTCTTCCTTTTTGAATTCTTCTTCCGCTTCAACTTAATTTACTGTTTCGTTTCACTCCTTTCTCTGAACACGCCCAAACCATCTCAGTCTGTTCTCTGTCATTTTTTCTGCTTTTGACGCGACTGACCAACTTGCTATTACGTATTCACCATTCATTCATTCTTCCATATTCGTCATTCCTTATTATGTCTAACCTAGCTACATACATCCATTTTTCATTCATCTTTCTGTTTCACAGCCGTTTTATAACATTTTTTTTTACACTAAATTACATATCATTCTATCATACATTCGCCGAACTAAACTTTATGGACCAAAGTCACCACAGTGGCATATTCAATTAGGCCGATAAGGACAATCCCCATCTTCCTAGAGTTTTATGATTAAAATTATTCATTGGTCCTTTTTTCATTTGTTTGTAAAAAAAATATTAATTATAAATATCAAAATAATTAAAACGCTAACATTTGATAAATCTACTGGTAATACTTTCCTCACATACTTGTCTAGAGCAAAACAGTTTTGATTGGAAAAACAATTGTAATTTATCTTATAGAAATGACTGTGATAGTCTGACAAAAAAGTAGAAATCAATAAAGATTCCTCATTACTATTTTATTACTTTTTTAAATAGAGAATATTTTTTTAATAAATGTATTACAAATTTTGAATATTCGATAACCAGTTTCGGATAACTATTTTTGAAGCTATAAAGTTTAAAAGTTAGGATGGGAGGTAAAGTGCGTTTGGGAAATGCGCGCAGATAAAAATAAGACATATATTAATATGTATATATATTTATCACCGCTCCTCTAAGATGAACTATCAATTAGACCATTAAACCACTCTTGCATATCTGATTCCAAATTACTATGTTTCCATTGAGCGATTGTTCAATATATTGTGGCATTTAAAAATATGCCACTGATTTTATCACTTTTTTAAAATTATACTTGCATTTTTTCAATTTAAAATGACTAGCTTCTAAGACGGAGTATAAATATTCTATGAAGACATTTATTAATAAATTACTTATTAGTTTAGAACACCAGACATTATCATTTCTAAATTCCCAACAAGGCTAAACTAAATTAATTAATACAGCAAATACTAAATATATTAATAAAATACATAATTTATTCTCTTGTAAATGTGTATAATTTTAGTTTTCATACATTTGAGTAAAACAACTTGTCATTTATTTTTATTAGACATGAACTCTCGTGGCTTTATTATTCGGTTATTTATCACAAATGCATTATTTATTCATTACTCCAGTGCTATGAACCCAAAATATTTAATTTAGGTGTCAGGTTCAATTGATTTTTTTGGTTCCGAATATCCAAATTATAGCTAGGATAACTTTGCACAAAGACAAAAGTCAAAATCCACGTGAGGCAAAGTATATCTTAATTTCTACGATAAAATATATTCTAAATATGTTTGACCACAAAAGGCGAGTTGGCACAAGCCGCAGAATATACTTAAGAATTTTCTCATCTTGCTTCTTAGTACGGCTCGACGTCCGAACTCACAGCCGTTTAGCTACAACTATTTTTGTAACCAATATTACGTTTTAAGTAGGAAGTTAGTTCATGCAAGGGTGAACACTGGAGGCATTGTGGACAATAAGCGTATCCGATGAAGTAATATGCACCGCTATACCCACAAGATTGTAATTCGAGTAACTTCTGGTCTGGCGTTATACCTTAAGCATACGGTTGTACGCACAATTGAATGTATGCGATAGAAGAAAAAGGATATTCAAAAAACATAACATTTGAACATAGGTACCTGACCATAAAACTTTTTTCTTTTGTACCCTATAGGCTATGTGGGTTTTTTCTTTAAAATTATCAACAAACAGCACTTAAGAGATTATAGGCACCTAGTCTAATCTAATAACGGAAAAAATTACCAGCTCCCGGAACTATATAATTATTATCACCGCTTCAAAAATATGATATGGATTATATGAACAGTTAGACACTCACTGCTCACTGTCACCAATGGGATGATCATAGCAAATCATTAGGGTTATACGACTTTTCACCGAGATGCTGAACAGAGTTATTGAACTCTGATCATTGGATCGGACTATGAACATGCCAACATTTTATTCTCATATCAATGTAAATTAAGCTATACATCAGACCCATTTGCATGGTCTAAATACAATAATATTTGCTGGTTGATACCTAAATTATTATTAATTGCTGAAAAATAAGAAGTTTTCTATTTTTAAATAGGAACCTAACGACGTTAAAGTATTTTGAAGTGTGAAAAATGCATTACAGTAATTTTTGTATTTTATAAATGTATAGATTTTAAAGTGATTGAGCTTTCAATCTGAGTATCTGACATAATATTAAAATATTAGCGAAATAAAAAAGAACAATATAAATTACCTGAGCTGTAGACTTTACATAACGTTAATACCACCAAATTATCTACTAGGATTTGTTCATTTATCCGATTATACGAACATTAATATAACTAGAACACTATCGAAACCGTTAAATACGGATCAGTGCAATGAACTGTATCAGAAAGGAATTATCTCTACTTTTTCAATTCATAGTTTTGAAATCAAGCACTTACTTGTTCTTATTCTACATTTATGGCGTTTCGATTGACTGAGTTCCAATCGCTACTATACCACCCTACGCAATCATTACCATGTAATATAAAGCGTAGGTCACGAGAATTCGACATATTTATAATTTATGTACAAAATGTATGTAAAACTGTAAGTCTACATAAAAAGTGTATTTATCCCAAGTCACATTTAGGATGTCTAATCTCATGTCACATAAAAGGCTTAAGATTTGGTGATTTTTAAAGAGAAAATATTTTCTTAATTTGAAATAAATAAAATGTATACAGTATAAATAAATATAAATGGATACTTGTACAAAACATACTCAACAGAAGTAGCTGTTTGTTGTTTAAATTATATCTGTAAAGCATTAAAATGTATTAATAATTTGTTTTTCATATACTAAAAAAAATCAAATTGAAAAATTTACAACAAATCCAAGACACTTTGGTTTTTATTTGTCATTTGCGCAAACCTGATTTTATGGAAAATAATTGTAATTTTTAAATATTTAAAGTTCCTATACTTTACTCTTTGATAAATGAGTGGATAGCGTCTTCTTAAGAAATTTAAATGTAGAAGTTGGTATTATTATAGTTTTTTTTTATTTGTAAGATATATTAAACTCATTGTTTTATTTCTTACTTTTTTTGTTTACATCTTGACAAACAAAATAGGTTAAAAAAACTACAGGCTTATAAAATATTTCAGGATGTACCTCGCTTGCGATTAAAAGAAAGTGACCTTTTGTGTGTTAATATGATTGCATAAAAAAAGATGTAGGTACCTTCCTATTATAAGCCACGCTACGCTTGACTGTCACTCTGACTAATCAATTTTAATATTAATAGGTAGTCTTTTGTTTTGATTTCGTTTAATTTTTTTTTCTCTTAAGGTTTTGTCGAATATTATCGGTACCAAGACCAATTGCACATGGAAGGTTAGCTGTTACTTATCAGCATCATTTTTCAAAATATTTATTAATCTTTAATGAAAACAATTGTATATTTATTTACACGAAGACCTGTAGACTCACAATCACCATTACAGATTAGATGTGCAATTAATAGAAAATATAAGCATATTACAAGGAATAGTTTAATAGTTATAAATATTAATATGTAATAAAATACATTATTATAAGTATGTATTATTATAGTTATGAAATCGTAAACGAAACGTCTAAGTGAAATCGATTCGTCGAATGGTTAATTCCACTCGATTTCAATCGCAAACCGCGTTTATTTAAAACGTAAGTACTACTGTTAAACGTTTAATGCGTTTTACTTTAATATCTATTATTACCCGTACATTTTTCTAATTCCGTCGCAGTACAATTGTATTCTGTATACATATTATAATAATTATTGTGATATAATACAGTATGCTTGTACAGTACACCGCTAAAA